ATCTTTACCTGGTACAAGCTAACTCTAAGTAAAACGGTCATATGTAAATGGGACTGTTGACAAAGCCGGTGTTCTGCCATGGGCAGACAGATGGTCTAGAAAGCACACCACATTAACATCTGACCCCAGAACTATTCTTTCTTTCAGGCCTTTCCACACACTCCTACCTCTCATTCTGGTTAACTCAGTTATCACTTTAACGATAAGCTTAGAAGCTCCATGTTGGATTAGAGTCAAATAAAATTCTAGCTATCTACACAGTGTGTATGCCTTTAGAGTTCAAACTACATGAGCACATAGGCATAGTGGCCTATAACTTGTGTGAACATAGTGACATCATATTGACACCATTAATGACTATCTGGGTCATTGAAGGAGAAATTATATAGAAAACAAATCATAGAATAATTTCTCTCTAAGAAATCATAACATACTAGTCAGATCCAGTGACCTGGCAATAGACTAGTTTCTCCAGAGTTTCTATGACCTTTTAATTTTTCAGGCAATAATTGAAAGAGTTAAGGGCTGGAGTCACAGTGACATTAAACATAGAAAAAGGCTGGTGTCATATATTACAGGTACCTTGTTGTATCAGAATTTACCTACTGAACTGCTAAGAGTTGTATTCTTTCTGTTGAGGCAAATTTGTGTATTACTGGGGGACTTCTGGTCTGGGCCCGAGCATAGAGCAGGTCACAGGAGGCAGCTCTGTACCCAAATCCAGAAAAACGAGAGAAAGAGGGACTCCCAGGAGCTTTAACTCAGGCAGCATCCCAGGTAAAAATGAATCACCTGTGATGTCTGCTGTTAGAAGTTCTAATCCAGATGCTGGCCTCTGAACTTAAACAACACAGACCTTTGAAGGGCCACTGACAAGAACATCAAACAGCTAGAGATTGACATCACTAATCTCAATAAATCCCTCGTTTTGCTGTCTGAAGAGACCTCCTAAAATCGCAAAGATCCTTATTGGACTTGATTTACTCTATTACAGTAGAAAAGGCTGTGTACAGCTCTTAACTGTGTATAGCCCTTAAAGAAGAAGGTTGCCTTTACATAGACAAGACAGAGAGGGTTAAAGAGGGCATGAACTAGGTAGTGAAGGCCCTAAGAAAAATCAGAGAGAGAAAGAGACAGATGAATGTTGGTACAAGAATTGGTTTTCAGCCTCTCCAAGGTTGTCAACCCTATTTCCTCCCATCTTAGGACCATTATTTGGGTTCTTTTTGCTTTTTTTCTGCTGGTCCCTGGCCAAATGGGCGGACTAACTCTGTGATACAACAGATAAATAATTTGGTAGCAAAACCTACTCAGATACATTATCATAAGTTAGCTACTGAAGACCACGAGACTCAAGATGAGGTTGTTACTTTATACAGGGTGTTTCCAAAACCCATCTCCACCCAACCTAAAGGGGGGGACTTCTGCCCCTAGACCAAGCAGAGAGGGGCCACCCAGAACCCCCTCTGACAGGCGATCTGAATTCTTGCTTAGGCTGCGAGGCTAAGCACTGTAAGGGAATATAAATAAAAGATAAAAATATCTCTCTGGGTTCCCTGAGGGACAAGCCTGACTGCATAGGGGTTGATGTCAAAAGTATCCCCTCTCCAGGAAAAAGATATCAGGATGGGTGTGGCCCTCATGCCTCACTGGACAACGACAGGGGGACTGGAGCCATTACAAGGTCCCCTTCAAATACTGAAGGTCAAGCCTCTATCCCCGCCTTTGCAAGTTTAGAATTGCCACAGCCCTTCTATACTTAGAGAAGGGTGGAGATGGCAGGGGCAGCCCTGCTTATACACTGAAGGCCTAAAATCAGCCACAGGCCTAAAATCAGCAATCGGCCTGTCATACATGTATACTAACACCAAGTCTTGGGTCTCAGTGGAAAAATATTGAAACAGATAGCTTTAAGCTAATATAAACAGGCAGCTTTTGTGGCAATTTACAAGCCTGAGTAGTCATAGACCTTGTAAATAGGTAGACTTGGCAGACAATACCGACTTAGATAAGGACAAGCGAGTCATAGGCAGAATCATAGTGACTTGTCCCCTGAACCTTCACCCAGCTGATACCCGGTTCTGAAGATATCTGTATTCCTCCTGAACACCCACACTCCAGTGTCATTCCCTTCCCCACATCCTGCCTTTCTGTGTTTATAACCCCTGTGTGAATGAATTACAATTTGAGAAAAAAACAAATTAGAAAAAATTTGTGTATGACTTTGAACTACCTGCTCTAATTCCTTCTCTACCCTCTTTTCACAAAGAAGTCAAGGGTGAATTACTCTCATTTGTTCTTCGTAACATAGTTAAATAAAGTTTACACCCTCTCCAAAGCCACCCATTATACCCTCTCTATTACTCAAACGTGAAGGATAGGATACATAAAGAGATAGTCGCTTACAGTTGCTGACTCCAAGATTGTGTCCACGGACATAAAAAAAAAAAAATCGGTATAGAATACTTTTAGACAGGTAAAAGAGCATACCCCTTCTTACTAATTTTTCCACATAAACCTCTATCAAGAAACATCTTTCTCAGACCTTATACAATCCTAGGTACTGAATAGTCAAAGCTTTCTCAGATCTTATACTATTCTAAGTACTGAATAGTCAAAGCTTTCTCAGATCTTATACCATTCTAGGTACTGAATAGTCAAAGCTTTTTGGATCATGTAAGCTGAGGCTCATAATCATTATGTAAACCAAAGAGAGAAGCATAATTATTCCTTTTTTTTTCATATAAGGAATCAATGTTCCAGTAAGTATAAACAGTTCTTTCAGGTTCCCGTGATAACGATTATATATCTATTGAAAACTTAGATTATGGCCTTTGAATTTTATTGTTTTGTCCTGGCTTGGCTTTCTGATCTCTACAAAAAAAAAGTTTTGTTTGTTTGCTTGCTTGCTTGCTTGCTTTCTTGCTTTTTTTTTTTTTGCCTATTTTTAAGGAACACATTTAACATTTCCATTGAGCTGTACCATGATAGATTGATTCATATGAATTATTCAGACAATAATTCCTTATATATATTTGAGGTTTAAAATAAAAAGACACTCATAGTCACTTTTTATTGACTAAGGAAATGAAATCCATCCAGAAGCACAAACTAAATCATTTCTATATGAGCAGTTTGCTTTTGCACATTTATTCCCTAAAGTGAAGTATGTGTGTATTTGTTTCCTTTCCTTTCCTTTCCTTTCCTTTCCTTTCCTTTCCTTTCCTTTCCTTTCCTTTCCTTTCCTTTCCTTTCCTTTCCT